ATATATGAAAATTAAAACATGCAGCCATTATTGAACTAAAAAAGTATAGCAAAGTTAGTAAAAATACAAAAGTTCAAAATTAAAATATTAACAAATTAGAAATAATTAAAGTATATATAGATAAAATAAGCTCAAGCGTAGACTGTATGATGCATTACACATGTAAACTAACAGAAACACTAATATGTTAGGATGAACAGGCCTAGCAACAGGTTAAAACAGCAAGGAACCATTAGTGCTTGTAGGGACAAAACACAACAAGCATAATGTCTCATCTTTTTAAAAGAAAATCAAAATGGACTAAAATTAATAAGAGGTGAATGTAGTAATTCAATGTTAGCTTTTGACGTCAAGCTAAAGCAAGAAACTAGCATATACATAGCTAGGATGAAATTAATTTCAAGAAAGACACTGGATTCCCATGTTTATGTAATATTAACAGGAAGGAAAAAGATTACAGGGAATCATATATGGTAATTAGTCTTTTCCTGGTGAATGTCCCTTAAATGCTCTCCCTAAAAATTTTTTCCTCACCTGGAATATAAATTGAAGAAATTAAATATAAATTAGCTCCCTCTTTTCTTAACACTCTCTCATGTGTTTTCTTCCAGAATCTCTTTCCCTTATTTCAGCAATGGATCTGATTTTAATGCTATTAGACAGAAGTGCTTTAAAAAAGAACCACAGCTCTTTCAATTCACTTACTTCAATTCAATATTCTGTTTCATCTATTTCAGGGACGAACCCTAATTTAAATCCAGCACTTTAGGCAGCCTTGTAGAAATAGGAGGCCTCTATATCTGTTGTTCTATAACTTCTACCACTCATTAGGTAGGCCAGACATGGAGAATATGAGACTCTTGTAATTAAGACAATTGTATATTCTGACAATTATTATCACTTTAATTATATGTAAAAATATCTCTGAAATTTGGCTATCATGTAATGATAATCCACTTATAATGCAGTTATAAAATCCCCAGGCTCTCAGAGGATAAAGCTAGTGAAGTCTTGTTTTCTTAAAAATCTCAAATAAATCTACCAAACACAGTATAAAACGACTGGATAAGCCAGGAGTTTGATTCAATGGACAGCAACTTCGTGTGTGTGTGTGTGTGTGTGTGTGTGTGTGTGTGTGTGTGTACACGTGCATGCGTGTGTGCAGGCACATGCAGGTAATAGTTGATAAACACATACATAGATCTATGTATATGTGTATTTATGTTGTAATTCTACCTAGGGATAAATCCTATTAAAATCAGTGGGATTTATTTTTAAATAAATACTTATCAGTTTTCCTTTAGGACTATTAGTAACTAGAGGTACTGAAAATAATAGTGGGACCATGTTATGAAAAAAATAAGAAGCTCCTCAAACCCCCCTTCACTCCCCTCCCAGGTTACTTATCTCCCCCTCCCCCATATTCACTGACATTTATTGTTTTTTGCTTCTGTTCTCCATGCTTAGTGTTTGTTTTATTGATTTCTAGTGTCTGAATTAGATTGAGAAATTGTCTCTTTGGCTGATATTTTCAGTTTAAATTTTTTCTAAATCTTTTTAAATATTGACTTTTCTAAATATAGAAAAATGCAGCCATTTTGGATAGTTATTAACTGAATAGTGTTAGTATCAGACTAATAAGAAGTTCTGACAAAAAGAACTGTGTTGTACTTCCATTCCTGCAAAAGGAAACAATTATTGCTCAGATGAGACATTGTGCTAAACAAGTTGTGTAATGAATGCACTAAAAAGTAACAGACACATGAAGCCATTATGCTATTTCCAAAAGCAGTGCAGGTGGAGTGAAAGCATTTCCATACGAACCTGGCTTTAAAAACTGGGCTGTCAAAAGAACAGTTAAATGTAACACAAAGTAAGAAACTGTCCAACCAACTAGTGGTAATTTGTTGTTTTTAATGTATTTGTCTTGTTTTTATTCACTGCTTGCGAATAATGTTTTTAAAAAGAATGAACGCATAAAATAAACGCAAGACTAGCTGGGAGTTTTAACAGCATTGTGACTGACATTGTGAAAGAGGAGGAGCAGGAAGAGAAACAAACATTAAAACTGAACATAGGGAAAGAGAATAAAACTGAGGATGATTGTACACATTAGCACCACACTTGCAAAGCCACTCAAGAGACTGTGTATGTGTATACTTCAACATACAAGTAGAAATTTCTAGTCTATAAAACTCCTATGATTTATGGAGATGTGTAAATTTTCAGATTTCACATTGTTCTTCAGTGGCTAAAACACTCAAATAAAAACATTTCTTTAAAAAAAGTATTAGATAAGGATACTTCAATAGATATCTTCAGTAATTAACCGTCTCCCATTAAATTGTTATACATTTGAGGAGCTTAGAGAGATATAAAGGCTTATGAATATAAAGTTCAATTAAATTAGCTTAGAAATGTTTTTGTTTAATACAATAGAATACTGTTACTATCACCTTCTGAGTGGCTCCAAAAGGGATGCTGACTGTGCATCAAAGAATTTAAAAGCAGGAACAGCTTGCTATAAAGGGTGCTTCCATGCAAAGTAGAAGGGGAAAAAAAGAATAAAAACCCCAAATAAAAACTTAGAGCTTACTGCATGACATAATGAAGGCAAGAGAGAAAAAGCCCAAGAGTAGTGCTACATCATTCAGCATCTGCAGAAAGCACAATATTTAGAGTGCTTGGCAATATACAGGCTGCTGCTAAATATCAAATTGGTAGTCCTATACAGATACCATTTTGGATTCAGTGGAGTCCACAGATCAGTGTAGATGTGCAATATGACAAAAACTAAATCCCCCAAATTACTACAATATTCTTCTTTTTGCATTCCACAAAGGGACTAGCTAAGAAATCATTTTGACCATCCTGTGTACAATATTTCATGGTCATAAACATCAATAATATATGAAGGGTAGAGCAAGAAAGAGAAAAT